TTCTGACGACATTTTTTTCACAATTTTCTGAAATATTAACTTCCGTCTCATTAAATCTCAATTCACGAATAGAAAGATCCACATATTCAGCTAAGCCAAACACTCAAATCTATGTTACACAACAAACAAATTAAATCATGCTCTCTCTAATGCGATTCACATGTTTGAGAAAAAGTTCACACTGAATTCATAATGAGTTTACCTGAAATGTACGAGAAACCTTACCGGTTGAGCTTTATTTCCTATGAGAATTAAATTATTGAAATGATTTTATTTATATCTGTTGAATTGGTTTAAATGAAAATTTAATTTTTCCATTTCCTCTAGCAATTTACTTTGAAAATTATCTTGTATTAATTTTATATTGTTGGTTATTGGCATATTTTTGTAAGTATACTTATGGTCGAGGTAACCCCGACCCTTCAAGAATCTTCAAATAAAAACCCAAAAAGTTTAAATCACTTCACATTCAGCAATGCGCAAATCAATTACAAAACAAAATTCAGCGCTACAATTTCCACAAAATGTAATCAACGAAATCAAAATGAGCATAGCAAGGCACTCGAGTAAAATAATATTCAATCCAATAGGGAAATTTGTTTCAATGTTTTGCTTTCATTTTAAAAATTACGAGAGATAAAAAAAATCTACAGTAAAAAAAAAATTCGATCGTAAAAAAATTGTGAAGTCCAAAGCAGAATTTGTCGTGTGCCTTAAGGCACTCTCATGATGAATACAGCTTTTTTATGTCTTTTCACTTCCTTTTGACAATGCCGTATCTCTTATTTATGTCAGATTTTTTTTTCGTGATATTGAATTATGAATTATTTAAATTCAAGCTTTGCTCATAATTTGGCAGTTATCTTCAATGAAGCTGTTAAAATAACTCAGATTTAAGGGCTGAGTGGGGTTGAAAGAATGTTAATGACAAGAAATCAGGTGAACCTGCTTATTTGTAAATACATTTTATTATCTGCAATCCTAATTAAACAAATTTTATAAATCGCTCGAAATACAACAAGGAATAAAGATTAAATATTAAATTTAAAAAATGAATTGAGTTCATTTTCAGCTCGATGATTAATATTTATTTGTTTAAATTCGATTAAACAGGAGAACGTGGGATGAAAATGATGAAAAATTCTCGCTACTATGCGTTCATACAGAAGAGCCTCCCTTAAGTGAAAGCAGTGAACTTAATATTTAATGCAGAGAGCTCTTGAGTGAAATAGGCTATTTTGATTCAGAGCGCTCACAAATTTAATATTTTTATGTGAATCTCAAGTTTTGATGCTCCAGAAAAATAAATAAAAATCAGATTAACTAGAATTATCAGCTAGTGAAAAATTAAAAAATAAAAATCTCGATTCGACTTCGAGCTCTGGAACTAGCTTGCATAAAATGATCTTTGCACTTAAGTTTGATTGGCTTTTAATGCAAAAAGTAAATCTACGACTGAAAAATCAATATTAAAGCTGAGATTACAATAGCTAATTCCCATAAATATCTTCTGAATTTCCATTCCAATTGAACTGCATTGTAAGTCTTCTGTAATCAGCAAAAAATTCTCACTTGTTATTTAATTTTATAAGAAAAATTCCGAAAGCAATCTCGGAAAATATTTCTATCAGATACTTTTACTGCTAATCGAATTTTACCGTTCTATGGCTTGTGCTTAATAAATTTTTTTCCGTCATAAATTTTATTTTGGCAGTTTTTTTCGGAGCTAATGTAACAATGCAAGAATTTAATATTGAATGAATAAATTTTTTTCGAAGTCCACTGGAGTCACGAACGTAATAAGTTATCACAATTATAAGCTGAAAAAAATAATTTCATTCTGCTTCAGATGAGTTGTAATCGGATTTAACCTTTAAACTACTTTCCTATTAATTCTTCAATCAATAAACTATCAAGGATTGCTCAAAGACTTAACTTGGTGGCAGGTCTTGTTACTTGCTAATAGTTTTGTTGAAGTTTTCTTTATAAAGCTCTCAGCACATTAAAAATGAAAAATCTAATGAAAAACTTTTCAACAACTTATTTTGTTTTTCGTTACCTATCAAGTGAAGTTTTCCGTACTGAATTACAAAGAAATTACACAACAAAAAGTTCCAATTCTTACCTGAATAAGATTGAAATTGAGCACAATCATGCTGCTTATTTTTAGAAATAATTTCAAACAATCTGGAGAAATATTACACCGATTATATTCTCAATGCAAACAAACAAAAACGGCAGTAAAGATTATCAAGGTCAAATCCAGTAAGTAAACAATGACAAAGTGCTTTCGGTAAGTTTAATACCAAAATACTTATAATAAATTGTGGGTTTAAACGTAAAAATTATTCACAAGCACAAGCTTTTGCAGGCTTAATACTGAAGGAATCAGTGGTTGTGACAAGAGGACACCCACAGTTAAAGGATACCGTAAATGCTGTGAATGATAAGGGATAAAGTGTAGAAAAATTAAGTGGGTTGCTGAAGAAAGGAAATGATTTTCTGAGAATAATTCCAGGGTAAGAAAAGGTGGAACTATTATTGCAATTATCTTAAGCACTCGATAAAGTATCTATACCATGATGAGAACACAGCAACAGGTATGAACAATAAGAACATTCCATCCTTTATCAGATCAATAATTTTCGCTTTGGGATTATTTTTCAGAAAAATTAATAAGGTATAGAAGCTCAATACTCAAATTTCACTTGAACCCACATAAAAATAGCTTATTTCAGATTATCAAGTTATGAATATTGAGTGAATGCTATCAAAGATGAGATCTTAATTTTAGGTTAAGGTTGTTGCTTGATTCTGCTTGATTTATTAAATTTGATGCTTGATCTATCAAAGATGAGATCTTAATTTTAGGTTAAGGTTGTTGCTTGATTCTGCTTGATTTATTAAATTTATTTAATTTAAATAATTTTATATTGGTTATATTATATTCTATAAGTCGTTTTGTTGCTCTGTTAGAAAGCTTAGCGCTAAGTTCAATAACAAACAAACCTTTGATCACAAATCTAAAGGTTACAATGATTTTTATCATTGGATGCCATCAAAATGTGATTGTTTTCATTAATTAACACAAAAGGTTATTATCCTTAATAATCCTTTAGCTTTAAGATATTTTATTCACAACAAAGCCTCATTGTTGAGTAATTGGGCCATCTTCAGTTCCACAAAAGTGTTCTACTTTCATTATAATCAAGATCTTTTGGATTGTGTATGCATCAGTATGCATGTATTAAGTCATTTTGTGACACAAAAAAGTAATTTAGTGAAAACTTTCATTTTATACAAACTATTGAAATACCAGGACAACATACATGCATACAACACATCAGACAATGAAATGCTGTCATGGAAAAATAAGAAAAATAAAAATAAATCATAAAAAACATTTTCGTACAGTTTCTATCATGTCAGAACTAAAGTAGGTAAGAAAAGTTTCTGCTCACTTGTGTTTTGTAAATATAAAGAATGTGTTGTGTATGAATGAAAAAATCTATTGTACAAAAAAGATGCTCACGTAAAATTACCATTTCTATAGAGAAGTAACTTTTATAGACAAATAATTGGAGATGCATATGAAAGCTCTGTTCGATATGGTTCATAAATGACGTACATTAAATAATATTAAATACAAAATTAAATCAAGAATTATGAACAACTGTAGCATAGCTTGAGTTTGGTTTGGCAACTTAATCGAAAAAAGCTTCGTATTTTATGTAATTATCTCTCAATTTTCTTAAGCTTCTATAATAACTCAAACTTTAGTAATTATGTTTAGTAGGAAAAACTGCTTATACCTGCCACAAATCCCACAAAATACTTCAATATCCATTCAATACTATAATGACAAGGATTATGAATTATTAATCATAATGAATAGCTTAGAAAGGGTGATAATACATTAATAATACATGAATGATACTCTTATAGTACAACGTAGTTCTACCTTTTCATACCCAAAATGAACTTGAGTTAATATGAAAACGTGTGGCATAGCAAGATATTGTTGAAGAGAAAAAAAAAGTAATAAGCTATGCTTTCTAAAAGTTCTGAATGACTGGCATGAAATTCATTTCGGACTAGTTGCAAAAGTTTTCCGCATTGTTGAGTGAGAAAAATAGGCAAGTTCATATCACTTTTTTGCATGAAAGAGCTCCAACAAAAGCTTACAAGAGGAACTTTTCTCATCGTATTACTTTATGGTTCATAGATATTAGTAGTGAATCCGAGTTTTTAATTGTATGGTGAGCAAATTATCAACTATTACTCAGGAAAATATATTGGTGTTGTTGAAAACTGTTGACAGTTCTTACCGCTATTTTTTGCTTATAGCCCCGAGCAGTCGAGCTTCTTTCCTGATCCCGAGTGACACAAACTGAAAGGTCCTCGACATTGAACAGTTTGGTTTATACTTAATATTTTCGTTTATAATGTCTTCTATGTTTCGTTGAGATCGTTTGTAAAGTTGATCCTTGGACACCAAGTTACAGCTAGTTGATCACTATACAAAATGTAAGCTAATTAGGATTTATGATAAAACGTGTCAATATACAATATCAACACTTCACCTGCCTAGCATGAATAGCTTTTAAAAACATTCTTGATTTTTATTTTTAATTTCTCTAGTCACTCGTAAGACGCAAGACTACGTCACATTAGTCCAATAATAGGTACATGATGGTAAGATATTCTTTAGCTCTTACATTCTTAACACTTCTTTAATAGTTGTGTATTTTATTAATAAAGAATAATATGCGTTAATTGCTTCGTAAAACCTTTTCTTCTTCTTCTTTTCTTCGTGTACAGATTAATATTGTTTATAACCGTTAGAGCACTTTAAGCTTTGCTTCATTGTAACGTAGTAAAAAAAATGTTCAATCAACACAAGCATTACCTTTAAAATACCTTTTTGCGGTTCGTGTGCGAATGAATAATAATAACTTAAAGTAATAATATTTTTGAAATTCGATTCAGTTTCTGTAAAGCTGGTGTGTCGTGAAGTCGCAATAAACTTGAGCCAAATGAGTAGCCAACAGATAGAAAACATCGACATCAAAAGTGTTATTCCAAAAAAGAGGTAATTAATCTGTCATTATTTGTCGATTAGAAATAAATATAATTTATAAACATCTAGACAAGAACTTCTTAAATGGTATGGCTGGGGTATGTACGTCAAATATATTTTTTGGAATATAAAATTTGTAACAATCAAATTATAAACTTTAAAGGATATAAAGATTCAGAGTTCGTCATTAAGGACCGTACGGTGTATTTTACTAGTCCACGATACCTTGTCAGTTCCAACGCTAAGCTTGAAAGCTTTAAAAATTACATCGGATCGATGTTCAAAATTATGCCTGAACACATAATGGAATTACCTTTGTCAGAAGCGAGGATCAAGCCTATTGAGTATGCTGAGCCAATTTTAAATGATAATTTTGTGAATTGTCTAAAAAATTCAAAGATTGATTATTCTGTGGACGGCGAGGATCGTCTGGTTAGATCTCATGGACAGACAATTCATGAAATTTTTGATTTGCGTTATGGAAATGTTAAAAAAATACCTGATATAGTTCTATGGCCAACAAGTCATGAACAAGTTATAAAAATTGTTAAACTTGCTTACGACAATGATGTTGTGCTGATTGTTTTCGGTGGTGGAACTAGTGTAAGTGGAGCAATTCATTGTCCTCAAGATGAGAAAAGATCAATTGCAATTTTGGATACATCTCAAATGAATAAACTGTTATGGCTTAACAAGGATAACTTAACAGCATGTTTTGAAGCTGGAGTTGTTGGACAAGATCTAGAAAGAGTGTTAAACGAACATGATTTGACCTTGGGACATGAACCAGATAGCATTGAACTTTCTACATTAGGTATGACGCATTTTAAATATTAACAAAATTTTGATCGTTGAGAGATGATGTCAATAGGATTTTCGTTGAAAGACATCATTTATGAACAATCCTAAATTGTAGAATAATTTTTAAACTTTTGAATTTTATAGGCGGTTGGGTAGCAACACGAGCATCAGGAATGAAGAAAAACTTATATGGAAATATTGAAGATCTAGTTTTAAACATTAAGCTAGTGACATGCAAAGGCGTTTATGAACAAAAATTTACAGGAGCACATAAAAATATCGGCATCAGCTTCGATAATATGATATTTGGAAGTGAAGGAACATTTGGAGTGATTACAGAAGTTGAAGTTAAAGTTCGTCCATATCCAAAAGTCAAACGATACGGATCTATTGTATTTCCTGATTTTTCTACTGGCATTCAGTTCTTGAGGGAAGTAGCCAAAAGAAGATGTCAACCGGCAAGTATCAGATTAATAGACAATGATCAATTCCAATTCGGTCAATCTTTAAAAACTGACGAAGGTGCTTTAGTCAATTTTACAAATGAACTCAAAAAATTCTTATTGACAAGAGTCAAAGGATATAACTGGAATGAAATCGCTGTTACGACACTTTTATTTGAAGGTACTCAAGACGACGTTGAAAGGCATGAAAAGCTGATTTATTCAATTGCAAAACAATTTTATGGTATCAACGGCGGATCAAAAAATGGAGAGAAGGGATATGTAAGTTTAGTACCTGCTTGTTTGTTGATTTGCAATTTTCAATTTATTTTAAATTTTCAAATAGATTTTGACATACGTGATCGCATACATAAGAGTAAGTATCTGTCAATCACAAATATTTTTGGCATTTCTATTTTTGCTATTCGTTTTTTAGGACTTTGCACTTAACTGTGGAATTATTGCAGAATCATTTGAAACGTCTGTTCCATGGAGTAAATGCGAACAATTGTGTATTAATGTTAAGTTGACCATTCATGAAGAATGTAGGAAGCATAAAATCAAATACTTTTACGTCAGTTCCAGAGTAACACAATCATACGATGCTGGAGCATGTGTGTACATTTATTTCGGATTTCAGTTCAGTGTTGCTGGTTATGAAATCGAAAGTCCACTAGAGATGTATCATAAAATAGAAGAAGCAGCACGTGATGTAGTTTTAGCATCTGGTAAGTTTGAAAACATTTTTCTTTTTCATTCTTATTTTGATTAATCTGTCTTCGTAGGCGGTTCTATCTCTCATCATCATGGAATTGGAAAACTTCGCAAAAAATGGTATAAACAATCAGTATCACCGGTTGGAGTTGACTTATACAGAGCCATAAAATTAGATATTGATCCGAAAAATATCTTTGCATGTGATAACTTTCTAATGCCGGAAGATAAGGTAGACTTTGATGGACTGACCTCAAAATTATAACTTGTGTTAATTTAAAATTAATTATAATAAAAACTGGTATTTTTGTATTGATGGAATTTGATTGTACATAAATCAAAAGCTTAACTAAATCTTAAATTCCCTGACGTCATTTTTAAACCCCAATAAACAATGGGATTTATGTAGGACCTTCCTTTCAACTATTTTTATCACAAAATCTCAAAATCCAAGCTTAAAATTTGATAGGCACAAGTGAATGACCTCTTATAACAGCGGTGCTCAAAAAACTGTGCATAAAATTAACATGACTTCCTTTTTTTGTCGGATATCAGAGGCGTAACGGGGTAGGCTAGTGATAATCTCATTCATCAACAACATTACTTCTTTCAGTTATTAAGAACATGAGTAACAAAGTTGAATAAACTCCAACATTAACGGACTTCCTGCCAATTATTCATGACTTTTATATTTACGGTTTAATGTTGTATGTTTGATAAGAACATCCACTTCCACTAAAGAATTTATTTTCACTCAACATCAAATTGCTTTCCAGCCACACAAATCCCTAAAAAACCACATTAATGTAGCATGTTTTGCATTATTATAATGATGACTCTCGAAATGAGGATAATGAACTACTATAATGTACTCTTTTATTGAAATCTTATGCCACATGAAGTCAATTATTGCACATAATGGTGTTAACATCTGAAATCTAATTGACAATTCATAAGCTTTTATGGTCGGTATTATGAGTCGTTCAAGCTGAAATTGTGGGATGTAGAAGTGATTTGTATAATTTAACACCTTGTTCTCCAAATGAAAATTACTATAAGGAATTTATCTTCCACGTGGGAGGCAACTTCTGTTCATAAGATAAAGGCGTGTGTAGGCTGGATAATGAGTTAAGATTAAAAAATAATAAAGCTCTGATAAAAATTTCTAATTTGAGGCTTCATTCCTAAAATTAGCATTTTGATATTTCTCTTGAAAAATAAAAGTTACTAATTATGACGAATCTTGAATAATCTAATTAAAGGTTTTTTATGTCTACAAATTTTACTATTGAATTTGTTTTCAAATTTGGTTGTTTTTAATAAGTCTGTGAGGCAAAGTAAAATCTGGGGTATCGAGACATTTATAGGCAAATCTGCGAGTGTGAGATTAGGGATCTATTGTGCGAGTTGTAACGTAGCAGACCGGATAGCTGTTACCTTCTTTTGTGAAGTAATGGGTTCAATTCCCACCAGAAATCGATCTATCAATCATTATATTGAGTGTTGTCGGTATGACAAGGATTCACACAATGCTCACGACACTTTACAGCTTGATTAGCTCAAACTAAGGTTTATTCCATTCCAAGAATTAAAAGGGATATCGAATAAACTTTGGTGCTTAAAAGGAACTTCTGATAAAAGGTAACGTATTAAATTTAATCCTTTACATATAAGCAGTGTCGTAGTGATTTATTTTCATGTATAAATAAATTAAAAACTTTACCAAAGCCTGAGAAAATGAAGTTTATTTTTAACAATTTCTGTCGATGAATAATTAAGAACCCTCACCGATGTTTCAATATTAAAAAGCAAATTATTCAGCTAGCATTCAACCTTTTTCATCATAAAATCATAATGAAAGTGTCTCGCAACAACTTTATCATTGCGGCTTGTATCTTTAGCTGTGTTGAAAGTAAATTGGTTTATTCGCTTTGGCACATTGAAGAGGGGAGAATGAATGTTCAAAGAAAGTCCTCCTCAGAACAGCTTGTCATCCACCGACACTTGACAATTTAAGTTTTAAAAACATACAAGAAGAAAATTGGATTTGCGATACACATTTTTTTTTCTCTCACCTTCGCATCCAGCTTTTTGTGCTTTTATTGATAAAAAAAAACTTTTGCTGTTATTTGAGCAATTGTTGAAGCAGAATTGGGATTTTTTGATACAGGGTGGAAAAAAGTTTTCATTGTTTTATCGCAGAAAGCTGAATAATTGAGGAAGTGAGAAACAAAACAGTAGAGGCTTAAATAGCTCAGGGAAAGTGAATTTCCCCGTTTGGAATTTTACAAATTAAATTTACATATTGTTTAACTTTGGACGAAAGCAGAACAAAAGAATTTTGTTGAAAAGAAATTTATCTGTTTTAGATTTTGTATAGGTTCTGAGATATGGCATGTATTTAACTGTGACTGTTATCTATTTTCACAATAATGGAGATTCATTAAAAACACCAGAAATGATTTGCTCATTTTGTTATTCTGTAGGTGGATGGAACTGATAAAAGGCTATAGAAAAATTAACCTGGATGAACGAATGTAATACAATAGCTTAGACAGAAAGTTTGATACTAAATTAAATTCAACATATGTAGATGGGAACAAAATTCAGGTCGGTTCTTAATTTTTTTGCTTTAATCAGGTAAAGTAAGGATGTGGATCAAAAAGTTTCAGTTTTTAATAAAGATTTTTTGTAAACGACTGATTTCTATTGCATTTATAACTTGAGAATGAGAAGTTTTTCGAATTGATCAAGAAATTGGAAACATTTCTAAAAATAAATTCCAGTTGGTAAAAGACTTTAAAAAAGAATTCAGATCCAATTTGAGTCAAGTGAAATCTGGTTAATATTAGAGATGTGAAGGCAAAATTGAAACGAACAAGGTTATTTCCAAAAAATCTCAGCTTGAAGTCAAGCTTTTCCCTTTTACTAATATGCCTATCAGGAGATACTGCTTTATATTGCTTTGATAAAATATTCAGTCACATTTATTTCAAATCCAGATAGTACTTCTGAGAAACCTCCACATTTGCATTTTACCAATGCCGAAAACAAGGTACAAGAATGAACATGATTCTATGAAAATGTCGCACAACGAAAAATTGAATTTCTGCCGCCTACATTTTTTCGAATAATTGTGAAAACATGCTGCAAATCTGTTTCACATAAAATTTTTGTTCTAACACTTCTGGAGGCAATTTACGATTCTGCTGGACCCAAATTTTTGATTATTAAAGAATAAATTTCATCCATAAATTGTAAAAGCTTTCAATATTTTCATGTCATTGTTATTGGGTAAAAAATGAATAACTTTATATTATCGATTTATATTCATGTGCACAAAAGCGTTGCCGTTCGTAAATCAAAAATGAATTTCAATTTATTGAATTTACAGAAAATGTTTTTGTATTGTTATTTTTTTCCATATCATTATTCAATTTTTCTGTTCATGAAAATGATTTAATACAAATAAAAATCACTTCCTCTAGTTGTTTTTGATGACTGTAAAGTTTTTATATTCTGCAAATTGCCGTTAGAAGAGCTAAAACGTGTCGAATTCTCAAAACATCCTTAAACAGTTCATTAAATTTACTTTTATCGATTTCACATGAATACATCTCAATGATTATGGCAAGTGAACATAATTTCTACAGACACGATGTACTAAAGTTGAGTTACGATTCCTTTTTCATCGAGATGAAGTTTTATGGAAATGGTAATGGAATTTTTTTTTTCACTTTACAAATTTCAAACACGCATCTGATGTGTGATGATGAGTTTAGGCATTTAAGAGCTCCCCAGCAATGAAATTTCGCATTAAATTAAATAATTTCTTTTAAATTTTAAAGCTTTTATTGAACGATGTGCTTTAATTTGGATAATCAGATGAATTTTATCAAAGAATTTAAAATTCCAGTCACTCTTGACATTAGAGACATTACCAAACTCTAAATAAAAGTTCCCACAGCATCCAACCATTCAGAAAACTTTAAGTACAAGGGCCCTCATTCTCATCTTCGTTCACAAAGCAACAGAAAGAAAAATAATACTTGTTTGAACATCCTTCTATATACGCCATCATTCATGTGAAGTTTTGCGTGAGAAAAAGAGATAAAATTTGATTTAAATACATTTGAATTTTGCTTTTTATGTTGGCAAATATGAAAATCCACAAGAATCACACAAAGAATGTTGTTACATATCCATTCATGGATTGTTTTAACTTTTACATATTTTTTTTTTCACACGAACAAACCCCTAAACCATTATGAATATAGCAAACGATATCATATCGCTTGATTTCCATGTGCTTTCTCTTTTCACGCGCTTTTAAGTTATTCATTTATTCTATTGTCATGATCACAATTCGTATTCGAAATTCTCTTTTTTGTAGGATTGGGATTTCGCTATAGAATTTGATGGGTTGCTCTTCGGATGGTTGTCTGCAGTATTTTCAATGTATTATTCTTTATCCTTTTTCTTTTCTTTACATGTGCTATGTGGTAGATCATATTCTCTTGAATAAACGTTAATCATGATTGTAAAGACCAAAGCTACTCAACTCCTTCCCCCACTCTCTCTTAAAAATGTCTGAATACGTTCTTTAATGTCATTGATTGAGCCAAGTTTCTACTTGGAAAAAAGTAAGAATCGTGGCTTCCTTAATTTGAATAAAAGATCTGATCAGACCCCTGCTTACGCTAAGGTGACCATCTAATTTTTATGAAAATACAGGATATTTGATAAATTTCCTAAAAAATACAGGACACAAATGAAAATTAACCGAAATTTTCGTGAAAAAATACAGGACCTGGAACAAAATTTTCAAATTTATACAGGACAGGGTTGTAAAATACAGGACTGTCCGTTGTAAAACTACGCAGATGGTCACCCTATGCTTAGCTGAAGCCCTCTTATTCCACATAAGCAAAAGACTCGCCATCTTTTTCCAAAAATTGGACAGCATGCATGACTCAATAAGTCTACGAACCTAAAAAGTATTACAGAAATTTGAGCGTTTGTGACTTAATTGCATGAATTTCTTTATAATAAAATTCATTAATGTCTTCAGCCACTTTTTATTATGAATTTATTAACCACCTAATTATCTTATGGTTTAACAACTAATGTAATTTATTGTTTCTTTACTCAGAGAATTTATGCATATCCGCTTTATAGCGTTAATATTGAATTTATGAACTGCGTAACTTTTCTTTTGTTTCTCGAAACTCAATCAATGAGAAAAGAAGAACGAAACATTTCAATTTTTTTTTGACAGCTCCGCATCAAATAATTCCACATTATGGCATTATATGAAACATTTAATATCCTTTTTTACGTTTATTTTATGTGCTTTTTATTTTATTGATATTTTACGTAGGAAGTTGTCGGATAAAATTGGCAATACAGCCCCAAATAGCACAAAAATACGTCAAACCATTTTCTTTTTCATAAAATTGCTATTTTGGAGAAGAAAAAATTCTTAAAGCTCTTAAAGCAAACATAGTGGAATAAAACCGTGACTGGAATAAGCTCAATCTGAACATTTTCATCACTTTTCATTCAATTTATAAACCATGATTTTTCGAAAAATTACTATACTTTTCTCAGAAATAAGATCACTCGTGTCGACAACCTGTCATTCACCAAAAAAAGTAATATTTCCTCGAAAAGCTTGTCATTTCTTTTTTACGGCACTTTTTAATGCTACTAGTGAACCGTTTCAGAGGATATCATAAAAATTATTCGAGCGTAGCTCCATTGTTGACGTTTAAATGAGATTGGTCATTTGAGAGTTTTTTTAGAAGTTAAGGAACTAATATTTTATGAAAGCTTTTTATATTTCATTGTTGTATGTGAATAGCTTTGTGGAAGACATACTGTTGGGTTGTGTAAATGTAGAGATGAATAATGTAAAAGCTCTTGAAGGTCGCTTTGGGATATCCGATATCCTGGGAATTTATTTTTTTTGTGTTCTAAAAATATAAAAATATATTTAAAGCGAACATGCAGCTTTGATGTTGCGTGAGGAATATCCAAATATTTTATTAAAAAGGATTAGAAAAAAAATCTCGATCAGCCTTTAGATACTTTTGAACCAGTCCATAACCGAACTTCCTTAGTTCAAGAATTTGAAAAGATCAATAGATTTTCGAGAAGTTCCAAGCATAATCTATTCTGCTTAATATAATTCCTTGATCTTAAAACAGCAAACAATTTTCGAATAACTTAATGTGACTTATGCGGCAATAAAATTCCAAACTACTCCCTCAATTTATAGGCTAAACTTAATTATGTTATCTGCGTAGATCTCTTCTGTTTCGTGACTTGAATGAAACATGCAAACCCAAAATTATATCATTAATTTTCATTATAATCAAAATCTCCCGTGAGTCAAAGCCCTTTTTTGTGTCCCCGTCAATGAATTCAGGAGTATTTAATAAATTTATAGCATCCGGTGTTTGTGGAAATATTGGTCAGGAACCACGACGACAAAAAATTGGGTCAATGTAAATCGAGATTATTCAAAACCAGAACTATACATCAAGGGTAATCAGATGCTGCAACAGAAAGCTTATCTACGCAGAAATTTACTCGATTTTGGGTATGATCAAATTTGAATATTGCGAACTTTAAGCACTGCGTAATATCTTTCAATGCTGTAAAAAATGAAGCTTTTAAGTGACTTAATCAACACTTTCTCAATTATTTTTATGTAAAGATCAACAGTGAAAAATTGCTAGATGATTAATAACGTCAAATATTTGTAAAAGACAACTTCCTTCATTTATCTAATGCTTTACTTAATGTGAATGACGTAATAATTGCCTAAATGCGTAATATGATGGTAAAGTAAACACAATTCCACGATACATTAATTATTCAAAACGGAAACCTAAGACATAGATAACTTTAGGTTGTAAATTATTTAAAAGACAAGGTATGAAGCACATTCTATGAATAAGGATATGAAAATTCCATCAACTGTTTTGATCACTTTCTGGAATTAATTTGTGGAGCTACTTAATGTAATACGTTTAGTCGTTATCAATTGAAATATTGATTATGTGGGATCAAGAATATAATGTTCAAGAATTCGGGTATGGTATGAATGTAATGGTATTCATTGGAAATGGAAAGATTTGAACCAAAGATTTTCAGCCAAGCCGGTGTGACTCTGGTATAGTTCTGGATTTAAATCGAAGTCAGCATCATGCCAAAGCCATGCCGGTTTGGTACAGAATTAGTACATCAAATTTAAACCTAGCTAGGCCTAGTACAGCTTTTAACTGTTGTTTTACCACCGAATTATATGTCAATAAAAAAAAAAACCTTTAAAATTCATTTAGAAAACTTTAAAGAGCATAATTTTAAAATAATAAAGAAATTTAATTTCATTAAAATGTACTATAGACTAAAACTTCAATTATTGACATTCTTTAAAGCTTATTAAAACTAAATTCAACTTTTGAACACAGACAATCTTACAAATATTCAGCAAGGACTTTGGAAAGTTAAAACAAACTCAAAGATATTTTTAAATTCACTCATTTCCATCTTCAAATTCATCAAATGACATTCAAAATGGAAAGTTTCATCCTGAATTATGACGAAAAATACGAAAAACTTTTGAGAGATATTTTTTGTTCTTGTTTCTCTTTCAACTCGTTACTCATCATCCCACAAAGTAAAAGAAAAATTTCGGCTCATTTATTATTTCATCATATCCCAGCTGGTACAATTCGCATGAGTTGCTCTATTTAATTACTGAATATGATTTCATTATTTTGTTTTTCTTTTTCCTTAACATTTATTTTTATACAAAATAGAATCATTAGTAAAATTACAGATGTTTATTTTATTTTTTTGTTCTATGTCTATGCTTAATTCTTAATTTATTATTTAGACTCCCTTAATACAGAGATTTTTATGAGTAAATTATGGTAAAGTTCTTTAGCACGCTTGTGTAATTTTCATGTGATTTTAATTAAATGGAATCAAGTCATAAAGTAATTAAGAAAATTGTGCGTATAATAAATTATCAAAGCGGATTTGTGGCGAGAAAGATAAGACATTTATTAAAGACATCTGCGTGAACTTTTAGTAAATTAAAGAAAAGAGATTTTCTTAACAGCCTTACAAAGAAGTTAAGTAAATTGCAAAATTTATTGACATTTAATTTACCCGTGATACGTGAATATGATACAGAAAAGGATGAGATAAAGGTAGAACCTTTCTAAATTACAAATAATATGATCTGAAAATGCTGAAATATTTACAAAATATATACCAAGAAACCCTGTAAAGCTGAGTAGCTGAGACAGACATAAGTTAACAAACAAAAATTCAAGGCGTGGAAACTATCCAAAATATCATATTTATCCCACATTTCCCAAAAAAATTCAAAAAATTCCTGAGCATTTATGCACGATAATAAAGATATCCCAACGTATCCTTAGTGTTTTGGACGTGCAATTTCAGAATCTGATGGGATATCTCAATTCTAATGCATACAGGCTCAGAGATTATTTTGAATATTTTTGGAATATATGGGACAAATATGATATTTGGGATAGTTTCCACGCCTTGCAAAAAATGGATCAGATTCAGGTGTTCTCAATTTTCGTAACTATATATTTACACAGCACATTTCTGTCAAATAATTCACTTAATTTAAATTATTTTCATAAATTTCCTATAAAAGCTTAAAGCCGTTGGCATTATTAGAGATTCTTAACGATCATGGATTGGGTTCCGAGCTTAGTTAATTGTATTAAAAGCTAAGTTTAGGGGAGGTTCTTAAATGATGTTCAATGTCCAACATTTAAGGGGGATGGAGCTGGAATTTTAGTGATGGTTCAGACAAAAAATATTTATTCTTACAATAATGTCATAACGAAGGAACGAGGGTAGTCTTGAAATCTCGTTTTAAAATTTACATCATTTATGAACCAGAGATTTAGCCCCTTATGAGATGAGTTGTTTCGATAAAGGAGAGAAGCTAGTATTCTTAATACACGTCGATGACTCAAAAAAATTTACAAACATTGCACCTTTATTAGCAATTTTTCACTTTTTTGCTACACATAGACCACAAGTTTTACTTTTTTTTAACTCCTCTTACTTTATTACGCTTGAATAAATTACAATAATATTTTTTATCCATTTTCTCACCTTTAAGGCATCCCAAAATATTCAAAAAGTTATCTCAAAAATTTCATGATCCCTTTTCGTTCCGGAAGTAAAAACCAAACAATTGCAAATTTTCAGCCAAAAGATTAAACGCAGTAATTTTTCTATGCAAATTAATGACCTTTTGTCTTAGCATCGTGTTTCTGACAGATATGATGCTTCGGTTTCTCTTTAATTCATAAAAAAAAAGTTCTTCTTTGTGTTTTTAAATTAATTTGTGTAGTCAGATGCTTCATTGGTTATCCAGTAACCTCCATCAAGAAATGATTCAGGTCAATCACTTATGACGTGCATCAAGAAAGAACATCTTTTTCACAAAACTGTCGCAAATAAAAAAGTTTTTGTCAAGAAGCTTCAAAATCGTAATGTTGCTTACGTCACAAATAAATGGCCCATGACCCATCATTAAATATGCCGGAAAATATCCAATACGTAAATATTTGTCCATCCGAGTTCCTCAACATCATAACCATTCCAAATTTGTAAAATTGACAAAGGATGAGTCAAAACATCGACTCTGAATATATATGTGAAAAAATATGAAATTCAAATGACAGCAATACAAACCTTGTAGATATGGTAAGAGTTTGCACATAATTTCTCCAAAAATAAAATCTCTCAATAACATTCCTAGCAGCGTAATTGGCATACAAAATATTCCCAAAAGTAAGTCTGAGATGGCAAGATTTAATAAGAATACATTTGTTACAGTTCTCATGCGCTTATTCTGTACAAGAGTCATTATGACAAGGGAATTTCCGATCACAGCCAATAAAAAAATTAATGAATATAGTGGAATCACACGCGATGCCATTGTTATCCATGGCTGTTGCTGTTGTTGAATATGATTTTGACTTGACATATTACCACTTGTGATTGTCACATTCTCAAATAGGTAATGTAGTGGGGATATTGTAACAAATTCACTGGAATCAATTCTATCTAATGTCGACAAATCCGTTCGATTTGTCCAACTTTCATTTGTATCACGATCAGCCATGTCTGTGGCTTTAAACTTTCTCTTTTGAAAGGAGAACAACTTTATTTAAATTTACTTAAACTTCCGAAATTTTAACTTTTTTTCACACTTCAAAACGATAAATTAAATTCCATCCACCATCCTACTTCTATGTTTACGTATTCTTTATATCACATCCAATAATTTTTCATTCTCGATTGATGTACGACAGAGCGTATGTGTAAATATTTTATCACTTCTTTCTTTTCACTCTTACTCTTCTTTATATATATCCTTTAATTTTATCCTACAGAGGTATACAGTAGCGGGTTTAATTCACGAATTTCTGTTGTTGATTCAACAGCGGTTCAAATCAAACTACAAGAGTTATTGTGAAAACGTAAGAAAGTCATGAATGAATTGAATATCCTTTACAGCATTACGGTGGAATGTTTTGTTGAAAACATTCAAGTGCTCTCATGATGTTTTCTACAAGAGAGTGACTTTCCATTGGCAGAGAATGGAAATCTTTTAAATTGAGAAACAAAATTGGATTCCTTCTTGTGTGGATAATAAAAACGAGAAAATGAAAAAGTTTTGTATTTAGAATCCTCGTTGTAATTTAAACTAGTACAAAAGTATTTTATAAATCTAGGGGGAGAAGTGACGAGTATTTTTAATTTGAATAAAATGAGGGGTGAATGAAATTCGAAATAGAAAAGAATGAGCAGAAAGTTTTATGTGAATATCCATTAGTGAATTAGAAGCTTTATTTGAAAACTATTAGTGAACAAAGTTTGGGGATTGAAAACTGCTTTCAATGGAAAACTTTTTAAGGGGGAGATTTAAATATTTCCGTTTTAATTAAGACTTAGAATACAGCTAAATTGTTAAGTTTTGTTTTATTGTCGTAGATGAATCGATTTATTCAGGGATAATAGAAGAGGTAGCTCAGTGGCACAGTGGCATTCTTATTGAGGATTAAATTAATAAATATCGACTCAACAATCATGCCCGAATAGCATAAGCCAGAAAATCCTTCACAAGAACGACGTCACGGTTACTTCGCAGTTGCATAAGTCGTTCTCGCGAATGGTAATGATGCTCGAAACCTATCTTTGGGAGCTATTGACGGGAATGACTTCAAAGGATTCAGATCCCAATGTAAACTATAGGTCTTCCGAATTCCCACTTAATAACACAATTCTGTTCTGCCTTAAACCATTGAATTAAATAAAGAATTATTATTATTATTATTGATCTCTTATTAGCCACGAAACGATTTCGCGCAGTGATGGATCAGATTAGAATTGAATAGCTTTATACGCTTTTGTAAGAAAAAATAAGAGAGAGTTTGATCCACCTTTGATCCACTTTTGATTAATCAAAAGTACCATCTTACACCTTCAAAAATCCGTTTCTACCTGTCCTAATTAAACCATATCTTGATAAAACGAAGCCTTCACATCCCAACTGCAGTAAACAAAGCACTTAAATCAGAATATCCTTGAACTTATTTTATTTTCTCGTAAGGTGGTACTTGAAGTTCCAATTATAAAGAATGTAAACTTCCTGATGCGAACTTACCAACTAGACAAAAGAGAAACAAAGTCATTATCCTGCTCAAGTCTTGTGCTAATAATTAAAAAAAAGGAGGGAAAAAACTTAATTGAATTTGTATGTCTCATCATTTCTAAAGTCATTAAAGGAAATATAGTCCTGACATTGTGGAAAGCGTGGTGATTTTTTTAAGTAAAGTAAAGTAAGTGGTGATTTTTAAAGACTTTATGATAAACTTTACTTAATTAATTAATTTCAGGGAGCATTTAATTATTATGTTCGTAAATAAAAGATTGAAAAATTAAAGGGATAGGAAATCCACAAGGGACTTTAATAAAGAGAAAATTAATCTTTGCTGATTGTTGTGTTAGGATCCCGTTGGGGGTTAAAAATTCTTTGTTATTTTAGGCGAGACAAAAAACTAATTTATCACTTTTTATTGAAGTCTAAGAAAGGGTTCGAGTTTTTCGTTGGAATCTCGATAAAAATTAATGAGAAACTTGATATTTTTGTAAGCAGTCAGACACCCACTTGCCTGTCGATTGACATCCTACATGAGCATCCTTTAATAATACACAAAAATATTTGATGAAAACAGTTCTCAGAATAAAAGCTTTCTTTATTGAACTCATGGCCAGTGAGTTTGAAAATTCAGTAAAAATTGACTCATTTTACTGGAATTTGAATCATGCAAATGGAAAATTAATCATATAATTAATTGCGTTTCCAGCACCCCCTCCCACTTCCCCTTAATATTACACTTCTTTATGTCTAAATCTAGGGCAACTTGTAGCTAAAATTTGACTTGTTCGAAAAAAAATTCTCATAAAATTCTAGGAAATTAAAGAAATTTCTAATATTAAGTGGGAGAGACTAACCTTAATACCCTGCCTTTACCTCTATGCAAAGAAGCCTTGTCATTGACTAACAGATCTTATCATCATCGTATCGTCATATAAACTAAATTTTGCTCATTAGCAACAGAGATGCATAAAAGTATTAAGACCCCACGCAGTCACAAAGTTTCAAAGCATCGGTCTGTTAAAAAAAAATCCCTTCTTAATCACTTAAATCAACTGGCATCAAGAAAAAAAAAGCTTCTTTTTAAACCTACACCTAGAAACACATTAAAGGAAGAAGAAAAGCTCAAACTTTTCTTTTCAGAACGGAATAAAAGTGCCTCAAATCTTCTTCTGTCGCACAAAAGAAGGAAAAATATAACAGATGTGTGGTATTATAGCAATATCTAATGCATGTTATGTTGCTTTTTATTCTTTCATCCTTTATGGCACTCAATGATATTCTTTCTTTTATATGCCTCCTGATGTGCTTAGTACATTATGCTTATGCCACTTTCTTTTACTGTTTTCAATAATATTACAATTCCAACTTGTGTATATGAATGAGATTTGCTGGAATAAAGCAGATAGTATTCTATTTTCAGTAGATCTTTCTAGGAACAATGGATTATTCTCTAGAGATTCTGTAACAGAATTGTGAAAGCTAAGAATTATGAATTTGATTAATAAGCACTAGATTTAAACGGATCGATTTATTCGACTGTCTCAAGTGATGAATTGATATGAATTTCCCCGAATCATATCTAGATACCTGAACGAATAGTAATAATAAGTAGTAACACTCTATGAATAATCAAAAATGACTTAATTATATAATTTAAAAACATGTTAAGCTCTGAATACTCCAATCTAATCTTTATATTAAATAAAAAACACTTAAACACATCATCGTATGTTCCAAAAGCTCCAAATGTTTACAAGCTCCCAAACGTATGTCTGTTACAAACCAAGTTTCTGATTCTATCTCACATAAATGTCTTTTTAATTCCTTTTGGAATTGTTTATACACTTCTTCTTGCTTGACGAATGAACTTTTCACGACTCTTTACAACCATCAAGACATAAAATTAAGAAACTCGGAAGAAAATTGAGTCTGGCGTTATGCAAAAGAAGCTCATTTTTCATTCTGGGCAATTCATCTTGAATGGCTGAAAAGTTTTGAGACTAATTTATTTTAAGGTCAAAAGGTGTGGAGTTGCAAATAATAAAAAATCAACAAAATAACCTTGATTATTAAAATAGAAATGTTCTTTATTCTGTTGCTTTAAAATAGGAAAACTTTGATATGTTTACGTGCTGCAATAACTTACTTACTGACTTACTTCATATCTTATGCATTACTAGAATTGAAAATTTTATGTCTGATCCTCCATTATCTAAGCTTACAAGATGCAAAAAAATTGTTGAACTATAAAAGTGCACTCCCTGAACTATAAAAATAAAACTTGTGTATATTCTCAACATAATCATGAACAGCAAACAACACAGTTAGATTGTCATGTTTAAGATTTACAACACCAGAAATAAAGACTTTGTAAGATAGCATGTCTCTCGCATGACATTGAAAATTAAATTACCCGAAGTTTAAATGCAACAAGTTTCCTTTGAGAACATTGTCGAGTTGTTTGGATATTAAGTAACATTTAAAAAAGATTCAGTAATTTTTACAATGGACACTTTCTCCTTTACACAGCTTTATTCTTTTATAACAGAGTTTACATAAACAATTTGAAAGTTTTTAAATGAAAATCAATCAAAGTCTGACAACATTATCTTGGAGTTACTTAACATTTAAACAAAAGCTTAAGATTAAGAAACTTTCCATCATGACACAAGCTTTGTAAGCAATAAGAAATGCAATTTTGATTTCATTCTATTTGTTTTACAATCTGAAGAAAGAAAGAAAATATAAAACTATTTGCTGGAAATAAAGACAGTGGATTTTTTTCTGATACAATGAACTATTTTTGAAATCGTTGCGCATCACACAACATCTAAAATCAAGATTTTGACTGTTGTTGAGTTAATTTACAAAGGGGTCGTTCACTTATGACGTCCATCAAAAAACCTGATTTTTAGACCCCCCTCCCCCCCTCTGTCACAAAAATTCTATAGAAAAAAATTTCCATTGTTTGAACTGTCACAAAATCCTTGACCCCCCTCCCCCTTATGTCGGACGTCATAAGTGAACGGCTCCAAATAGAATTTAAGATTCTTTACTGAATTGATTAATAAGATAGATATTTATTGTTCGTAGTTCAAAAACAGACTATTTATTTCTTTGATGGGGCACAACGACATAGTCAAGAGAAGACAACTATATAAAGTTGCGAATAAAATTTAAATATTTAACGATAAGTTGATCAATTCTCAACCAATATATTGAAAATGCTGAAAGAAAATTTCAATATCAAACAATTCATAATAAGCAAATAATTAATAATTTCCTAATCTTCAAAAGAATATGCAGCATTCATTTCTTCTTTTGCTTCCCATTACGACTGATTTGTTTCATTTAAAAACACATAAAACGACGTTTGAGTTAATTAACTACAATAAGGAATTTCTTTTGTTGTCTTCTTTTGTGCTAATTTTGTTTTGATTTATAAATGTCACGATTGTTATAAGTAAGGCACAAAGAAAGAATCTTGTTGTTGAGTTGATTCTGTAACATGATGATGATGATGAATAGAAAATGTTTTTATTATTTTGTCTTTTGACAAAGGAAATGAAAATCTCGAAGCGTTTACTTACTTGAAAAAAGCTTTATTTTCATTGGAAATTAAAATCAAAATGCTCTTTGAGTTGATATATTTGTTTTGGCAGCTTGAATAAATGTCAAGATGTCGCGAGCTGTTTAACAGAAAAAATTTGTTATTTTTAGGATTTTCATCATAAATCAAGGTTTTATAAACAACTTTTAATGTTTTCTTAGAATTTGCAATT